TTCCACTGAGCCAGGCAATGATGTTGCCAAGATAAACCAGATATAGACATGATGAAAACCAGGGGAGCCAGGATTCAATTATCCACCTGTAGGCTAAGCAAAAAGTCATAATTTTGCCTGTTAATACAACAAGCTCTTTGGAGTACATTGCCTTACTGCTTGGGCAGCATCCAGCCCTAATGCTGCTGTCTGACCACCCTGTGCTGCATCTGGCTGAGACTAAAGCAAGGTGGTCATTTCTCAGCATGATTCCTATGGGAAAAGATATTTGGGAGCAATGGGGGCTCTGCTCTCCTGCTAACAGGTGAAGTGGACATTGGAAGAGGAACAAAATAAAAGGGGAAAAATAGTTAGAAAGGCAAAAGAAAACTCACCAAAGGGTCTTTCCATACCGCAGGGTTTCTGTGAATGAGATAAATGCTTATTGCAGCAATGGCACCTGTCAAGCCATCAAGGAGGAGAAAGGAGTCAGTGACAAAGAAACTCAAAGGAAGGTTGCAGCATGCTCATGAGAAGGTCTCTAAATCATCATGATCTTATTATTTATGCTGGGAACCTATAAGCATTTGGTCATTGGCTTCAGAGAAAAAGACACTTCCAGCACTGTAGGTGCATCATCCACCCCCCTACCCTGCCTGTTTGTGTCCTATCAGAGGAGGAAAGGAGCAGCACTTCCCATGCTGCAAGTTGGGCTGGCACCAGTCCCTGTCCCCCTGAACCTGCAGTTTCCCAGAATGGGTGAACCATAAGCGTGTGCTTGGCCAGGAAGAGAAGAGGCTTCTGGCACAGGCTTGGCTGCCCTGCAGCAATTGTGCCAGGAAGGATCTCGTGGGGATGCTGCTGTACAGCCCAGGACTTCATTCTATCGAGGTGATGCCAACATCTGCACAGTCCTGTCTGATGGTCTCTGCCAGCAAGGAGCGGGTCACAAAGGCACGGCTGTCACCTTCGCTCTGTGGCAGGCAGTGAGGACACAGCTAGTGTCCAAGAGCACAAGTTTCTGAAGCAGGATGGGATTTACAAACCTTCTGGCAAAGTGCGTCCGTCGGGGAAGGTGATGGGTTTGCTCAGCTGCCGGGACACGCCGGGCACTGGCGGGTAAAGGCGAAGGCTCTCCTTGATGCACATGGAGCTGTAAGTCATCTTGCCCAGGTCCTCCCTGTGGGGACATAGGCAAGCTGAGCCCCCAGCTACCCTGCACCAGGAGGCCCCTTGCCCCACAGCCATCAGCCCTCTGGGCAGACCCCCTGCAACAGATGGGGCACCTGCAATGTCCAACTTGAGATGCTGCAAGCTGGAGACCCCAGAACACTTCTAAACAACCTTAACACCCTCTGGTCTTGGCATGGCATCCAGCACGTCCTTCCTGCTCTGGAGTGGTTTTTCTTGTGTCTGCCTTGGTAATACTAGCCCTGAAGGGCAGGGAGGCAGATTTAGCTGAAAGATGCAGTATCCACTCCATCCTATGAAGTCTCTGTGCATGCAGCAACCTTTAGCACCTCAACTTCCAAGCCTGGAAGACTTTGCTCACTTGGAAATGGCACTGATGGTAAAAGAGTTACCAGGTGAGGAAATGTGCACCCTTACCACTGCAGCATCTCCCGGTCCCCCAGGATCTCCTGGATCTCCTCCCGGCACCGTTGCTGGTGCTCAGGATGTAATGCCAGGCA